CAAAGTGATTAATAAGTGGACCTTTGTAGATTTTCATCGGAAAAAAATATATTTTAATTTTTCATGCATGTAGAACTTATTTAGCAATAAACAATAATATTGTCGCAGAAAAAGATATTTTTATTATGTTGTATGCATGTAAATGTTTTGGCAAAATTGGATAGTCCACGAGTTAATCACTCTGATTGAACTAGAACAACCGACAACCTAAGAAAACAAGGGGGCAACTTCTTACCAAAAGTTTGGGAATAATATCATGGGTCCTATCCCCTCCCCGAAGGTCGTTGAGGGAGGATAAACTATTCTAATATCTCGCTCTTAGCACACATACGCATTATCGTCGTCGCCCTCACCACCCAGACCTCAGACTTACACAAGCCCGATGACTCATATGTGACATTAGAATATTCTCAGGTGCTCACAAAGATTTGAATACCATATTCAAAATTTATACCATTGAGCATTGAGTTTTACTCTATGATAAGTAGTGACGGGATTTTCATTAACAACCGGGTCATAACTCAGTGGGTCCTTAAAGTTTTGAGGATGATTTTCTTCAATAAATTTAGGTAAGTCAAAATGTTCTCTAAAATATCCAAAATCTTATAAAGGTATTCGGGGAGTGACCCTAAACAACTTTAGAATCTCCTGGGCCATTTCAAGTTCATTTGATCTTACCATACTGTTGAATTGATCAACCCTAGTTAAATTAGAGTTTCATTTCAATGCTTAGAATTATGCTCAATTTTCGTGGTTCAATTAATCCATGAGTAAGGTGAGTAGTCACTTCTTTGGTGTTATGTTTGAAGTTTATGTGGATGGTTACCCTTATAGGTAGGCTTAGTCGCTTAAGGCAATCTTACTATTTCTTCTTAATTGAATATGAGCTTGTAGTGTTTTAGGAATACTTATGATAAGTTATGTTCTTTCTTTTTTAATCCCTTTAAATGGTTTTAGATCAAGCCTAGTTCACTACCATGCTCTTAGATCTTTTAAGGATACATTTGTAATTTTGAAAAAAAATTATGAAATATGTTTGATTCTTATTAAGATATTGAATTATGCATAACCATTGGTTTGGGGCTACAAATTAGTTAATAACTGACTTCGTAACTTGTGCCCCCTTTCACTTGAATCATCCAAAATTAATTGTTTTCCAACCCTCAACAATTTGAATAATTAAAATTATACATTTTAGTAGAAACCCTTTAACCCTTATATTTCAATCATCTCAGAGGATTAATTATCACAAATATCACTCTTTAACTCTCTTGTTTAACCTAAATTTTAATTAGAGTATAATATTCTAAAATTACAAATTTACCCCCAAGGTTTTCTATCCCATAACACTTTTAGTTTAATTCAAATGACCATGAAACATTGATGGTCTGTTACTCATGGGTTTATTGAAATATCATAGGAGATTTTATATTTTTCTAATTTTTTTTTTAAATTATTTTGGTTTATAATTATGAATTTTCAATGTTAATTAATTTGATTTGCCGAAATATGTTTTCTGTCCTTAGAAAAATTCAAGTGTGTTCGTATGGGTTAGAGGACCAATTTGAATAGTTTTCATAGATATTTGAATTATATTTTAATTTTTATGATTTTAATTAATTTAAATGAGTAAATAAATAAAAACTATATTTTTATTTTGAAAATTATTATTTTTATTATTCATTAGTCCCTTTGACTTCCAAGAACTCAGAGAAATTTATTTTATAACTTTGTGATTTTTATCTTATTTTTTATAATTATTTTAATAAAAAAATATAGAAAAATACATTTAACTAATTAAAATACATTTTTATAACTTAAAAAAATTATAAAAGCATTTGTTAGTTTTTTTCTTTAATCAAGGAGTAATTGGTGATATTTTAGAATGTTTTTGTATTTTTGTATTTTTAATTATTTTTTATTATTTTTAATTAAAAAATAGTTAAAATGAACTTTTGATTTTGACGTTGATTTTATTTTTCCTAGTTGCCTCTTATCTCAATGAACAACCCTAAACTTTAATTTTTAATTTCATGATTTTTATTTTATTTTCTACAACTATTTTAAGCAAAAGTTACTATTTTTCTTAAAAAATATATTTTTATGTTAAAAATAAACTTTCTGATTTTAAATTTTTTATGCAAGCATCCTAAGGTTGTTATCTTCACTTGGAGGTATTTTTTTGTGATTTTTTGAATAATATTCACATATTTTAAATTTTTTTTATTCATTTTTTTAAATAGAAAAATACTTAATAATGCATTTTTTATTCTAAATCCTACTTTTTATTTTTCCTTTGGTCCTCTAACCATATTGAACACAACAAACTTTTCTTTATATTTTTTTGGTTTTTATTTTATTTTATTTATAATTTTTTAGTTTAAACAAGGCAAAATTCCTAGAAAATTAGGACTTTTGATGCTATGGATGTTCTCCGACCTTGGAAAAATAAAAAAACATTCCTAGGATCATTAGGAACAAACCCTCAAAATTTCATGTGATTTTGATAATTATTTAATTAATCATAATTAAATTTATATAATTAAATTTTTCTAGGGGTTTTTAATTAATTTAAAATAAAATACTTAATAATTTTATTAAATTTTCCTTTGTTCGCTGAATACAAAGATATTTTTATTTTATTTTATGATTTTTCTACACCAAAATATGATTTTTTAAGTTAAATATCATTTTCTGTATTTAATTAATTCAAAAAATCCCTATTTATCTACTTATTCATGTGGTGCTGACAGTATCATCAAACCCATCGAAAGCCCACGTGTTGCCCGCGCGGTTCGCATAACATCATCTCGTCCGACCCCAACTTTGTCATTCGTTCGATACACGGATAATGGATGACATCTGTTCATTGTCCCTGATCGTCCGTAACTTGTGAACCGTTTGTGTTCTAACTCTAAAATCTCGCTTGAAACTCAACTAAATTAAGGTTGGTTTGTTTCTACACCTTCATCTAACTGAGACGAACACATCCATACGACTAGATACACTTGAAATATAAATTTCTTTCATAAAGATTCAAACCGAGACAAAATTAAAGATTCTCGGGCTATACCTTTGCCCAAGAGGTGAGGACGGGTAGTTGAGAAGCTTCACCTTGGTCTCACGAACGTCCTCCAAGTGTCAATTTGAGATGTGGTTGGGTCTAGGTATGAATTTAGTCGAAGATTGTCTTGAGTGTGGTCTAGGGTTAGGTTAGAGAGCTCGAGAATGGGGGCTTTTGATTGGAGAAATGATTTTGAGGTGCTGTGAAACTTTTGGGATGATCAATTAGGAGTTTCATGGAGTTTGGTGGAATGGTTGATAAACCCCTGGATTTCAGTTGGGAAATTAAGGTTTCTCAGTGGGGATGGAGGGCTGAAAATGGTTGGGATGAGCTTCATGAGGTCGTGGGAAGGTTTTGGAATGATTGTGGCAGAGTTCCCACAAGGTTTGTGTATGTCTCCCCTATGGTCGTGGGGTGGTGGTGGTTTTATAAGCCATGAAAGGGTGGTCAATTGAGCTGCCCAATGGTTGGCAAAAAGGTTGCTTAGGTGGAGGAAAGAAGAGGGCTAATATCCAATGGGAGTGACCCAAGTAGGGGAGTTCAAATCTTGGGTTTTGGCCATAGCTGGCCTCTCCGGTTTGGAAAGCAAATGCATTGAAAGGGTGGTCAATTGACCGTGTGTCAGTGCATTTACCCATTCTTATATAGAACGGAGAGGTAGCATTGCAATTAGAGAAGACAACGAGCAAGAAGGAAAGGAAATAAATTGCGTGATAACGGGGTAAATGAAAAAAAAAAATTGTTCTTACAGTGTACATACCTACTTCACGAGTAAAATTATCCACAATTTTTGGGTTCATCTTCACATGATGGTTGAGAACACAACTATGCACATAACTTAAAGGTTGGTGCAATTAATTACTTGGGCTCGTTAAAGTGAAAATGATAGGATTAGAGTAAATAAGTTCCTTCCAAAATGGCAATTAAATAAATGGAGGTTATTGAATTCATGCAATCTTTCATCTTCTTTTCTCCTTCTTTGGTTTGATAGTTCTATGATGCAAGTTTGAAAGATTTTTAGATTGTGCAATTTTCAATATACTAGTTTGTTTATCTAATTAAACACATATTTTTTTGAAAGTTTTAATTCATTTAATAAAAATGAAATAATTTATTTTAAAAATATGTTTAATACTTTATATATATATGCATAAATTTAAAAAATTTTTATTGAAAGCATATTAATTTAGTTTACAATATGTATGTATTTGATATGATTGTTTGTGCTTCAGCAAGGATCAGTCCCTTGACATTTATTTACATGTAATGCTTTCTCTTTTTTCATCAAATAAAAATGAGTTCTTCACAAGTTTTTCTTATTGCGTGTAGTGGATTTTAAAAGTGGTTTTTTGTAGGAAGATCTTAAATTTTATTTAAATTATAGAATTTAGAATTGTAATTTGATGATGATTGTGAGCATACTATATTTATGATCCAGACGTGCATGGACGAATTTGGGCTCAACATAAATGCTAATAGAATATTTTGTACAATATTGACCATGTGATAAACAAAAGGCTAATATATATATATATATATAGTGTAAATAAATATTGGTTCATTGTAAACTAAACAAGCCACTTCATATTTTTTGTTTGGTATAAAGTAAGAGAAAAATAATATATTTCAATGTAAGCATTAATGTGTTAGCGGTGGCTGACGAGTGGTTGAGTGCAGCGGGCAATAGCTGCCCGCTGTCGGGGCACTTTGCAATAGGATTGATTACATAGTCTTGATCAGTCTAGAAATTTTTCAGGACTGAAAAGCATGATTAAGGTAAATATGCTCATATGTACACATAAATTTATAAACTTTGCACTCAATTTTATTTATTTTTTTGCATCATTCGATTGGTTTCACTTAATAATGCTTGTTTAAGAAACACAACTCATATGCAAAGCAGGTGAAAACAAATGCTAAGTATTTTTCCCCCAAGTGCAGGAAGCAAAACTTTGTTTTCAGAAACAGAAAACAAGTGCATGCCAGTAGATATATATTTCCATATCCTTCTGTTTTGGAAGCCCAAAAGCTTTAAAAAATAAAATAATAATAAGAAGCCTAATTGAAATGAGTTCAACTATGATCCAAGATCAAAATGCATTCCTAGTTACTCCAACATTCCAGCCTCTTTCCTTCTCCTTCACATGGCGCTTCTGCTGAGACAACATTTTATCTGTCTTTTTAGCATCACTTCCAGGTATTCTTCTTGTCCTCCAGCCACTGCTACCAATAGAAACTCTCAATTTCTCTCCAGTTGCGTTGCCTCTGCAACTGGACTGAGGCAATGGTGATCTGATAATTAGCTTCTTTTGTAGGCTTCTCCTCTGTATGCCATTTTTCTTGTTACTTCTTTTTCCTCCTTGATCACAGCCTCTTCCTTCAGAAGGATTATCTTTTCCTGCTTCCATTACAGTCAATGGGAATTGAGGAAGAAAGCATGCCAATGCTGCTGCTTTTGCTACTGGAGGTGGAATCAAAGAATCACGGCGGTTAGTTGGAGTCATGGACATACGGCGCATCGCATTTTCAAGAGAGAGTCTGTTGGCATTTCCAGGGAGTGTATCTTCAGCCAGCTCAGGCTTGTTCTCCTTATCTTTTATGGAATTAAGGAGTTTGAATGTGACAGAAACTGAAGAGTGATCTGGACTGTTCTCTATGATGGGTTTTAAAGTTTTTCTTTGATTTGCAGGACTACTTTGATTCCTCTCAATAAGAGGCCTACTTGCTGAAAGAGGAGAGTCAGAACTTAATGGAGTATTTTGTTCAAGCAGTTTTTGCTGTTGCTGTTGATTCTCTGCTATTTTGAAGTCAACATGTTGCCTTGCCAGTTTCCTTTCGATCAGAAGTTGTGATTCCAACTCCTTAATCTGCACAGAAATAGAATCTTCATGTCAGAATTTTTCTACCTACTAAAATTTAGGAACCAACATGGACATAAAGCCGATTATCTCAACATGAACGGACATGAACGGACCATTACTATCAATTTCTAAACTCCAAACTAATATTTAGAATCTTTAGTGGGAGAAGTAAGTTTACATAAACCAATTTTTTTTTTTATCAACCGTGTTCATTTTGTCATCATAAACCAATTTAGCATAAGAATAGATGCAAAATTACAACAGATAATTTAAACACATTCAGAAGAAATAACAAGTGACCTGAGACCAAGTCTCTTCTATTGAGAACAAGACTGAGCTGTATATTGTTATTATTGTTGCCTTCTTTTGATTCAGTGATAAAAAAGCTGACAAAAAATTCCTATTTAGTTAGTATCTTATTATAAGCTTTAATTCTATTATGATTCATTTTCATTACCAAATCATGATGGTAAAGTAGGCACTTCAATCTTACAAAGAATTCAAAAAGACAAAGATAGCTTTAATTCTATTATGATTCATTTTCATTACCAAATCATGATGGTAAAGTAGGCACTTCAATCTTACAAAGACTTCAAAAAGACAAAGATAGCATATAAAAAACAGAAAGGTTGTTGAAGAGGAAGTCAATAATCTAGATTTTTGCATTCCATATAAACTGAATGCAGAATATTCTAATAAAGGTTAAAGCAAGGTCCATACTTTCTCCTGAAGATTTCTGTTGAGCAGATCTTTTGCCTTATTCTTTGATTCTACGGAACAGATCATCTCTTCCAAGCTTTTTATCTGTAATTCTTTGTTCTTGATCTCCTGCTTGGCCTTCTCAACCTAGGACATAAATTTGCAAATGAATTAAAATAATAGAAACAGTAAGATTCAATACAAGTAAATGTTTTTGTTCATTATATTATTATCAGCCTTGTGACAGATATATCATACCATCTGTTTACTTTTGAAAGGTTCACCGCCGTCAAACTGCTTCTTTGCTAGGCCAAGCTCAATTCCCCTAACCCTGCTTGCAAAATTCAAGGAACACAAACTCTCACCAACATCATTCTCACTTGGACTAATTTGCACAAACATCAAAGTCTTTGATTCTCCCCCTACATGGCTCATTCCAAGCAATCTTATGGTCAAGATAGAGGTAAGATACTCAATAATGACCAGAAAAAATAAGTTAAGAGAAAAAAAAATACCTAGTGAGTCTTGTAGTAAATGAGTCAGTTTCGAGTTCCTACAAATTCAGAAAAAATTACAAATCACAGAACAATTAGTATAGGAATGAAGTAGTTATGTTGCATGCAAAAGGTTCCAGCTACCAACCTGAAAGGAATATGAGGACTTTTGGTTGCAAGAGCATATATCACATCTCCTAATGCAGAGAGGGATTTGTTAATGCATTGTGCCTCTTTCAGACGCTCCCCTTGAGCATCAGTTTTTGTTATTCTCTCACTTCCAGCAAGGTCAATAAGCCACAATTTACTTTTGGTGCACTCACCATTCACCAAATTCTCACCTCTTACCAATACATAGTGGATGCTAATAAATAGATTAAGTAGAAATTAAGAAAAGCAATCTCCAACATTATTTTAATGAACATTGCTTAGAAAACTGACCAGTGTGATCTGCTGCTATGTTCATTTGAATTGGTGGATCCAACAGATCTCGCTTTACTGCCTGTCTGTAAAACCTCCCATGCTTCAATCAAGTTGTTAACACGAGCTTCAACCAGACCAGGCACATGATGTACTCCTTCCAAAGCTTGTCGTACTTCTAGTCTACAGCTTTTAAATACAATTAAGAAAGAATGCATTTATAAGTTAAATCGTTAATTTGTACGATGCATTTATTTAAACGTTACTTTACAACATACGTCTTTGCAGCAACTCCAGGTTGAGATCCAGATAAGAGCAAATCATGTATTTGTTCATTATACACCTCCAGAACACTTACGGTTATTTCATATTGGAATAAACCTTGTCTTTCCCTGACAACTCGAAACAGTTCCTCAAGGGTCCTAAAGTTCACTCCACGAGCTCCTCCTGTTCCTTCCATGGTAAAGGTTTTGCCAGTTCCAGTCTGTCCGTAAGCAAATATGCAGACATTGTACCCATCCAACACTGATGTTGCAAGATGTGAAGTTTTTTCAAAAACCCTTTCTGATCAAAAGAAGACTCTATTTTCAGGTGGACATTAGCACATGCTGCCTATAAGAATCTAAATAAGAATGATTTTTATTCAATACCTTGATCTTCTTCAGGACTGAAAACTGCATCAAACTTAAAAGACTTCTTTAGTGCTCCATTGGTTTTAACAAGGAGCTCACCGTCTTTTGCAGATTCAAAATCTAGAGCCATATCATCTCCTCTAGATATTTCTTCTGAACTAAGAGGCCGGCAACGACAAAAAACTCTGATGTTTCCTGCAGTATTATGGGAATAAATTAAAGGATTACGTATTGTTATTCAGTAAATGCTTTAATTCCTTTCTAACATTTGGCCAACCTTTCAGTTCAATCATTTTGTTGTACAAGTTCTTCCGTTCCTTGGACTCTTCAATGAACCTCAATTTTAGATCTTCGTATTTTCTTTCAAGATTAATGTGACTATCCACTGTCAAAAGTAATTAAATTGTCTGTCATTAACAATTTAAAAGGAAACAAAGAAATAAGCATACCTATAAATCTAGAGCTGAGAGAAGAAGGAACAAATATACGGACACTTACTGGAAGGTAAAATGGTGCCCATCCTGCTAATCATATCGGCAAGGCAATTTTTAAATTCCAATGCTTCTTCTGTCAACTTGGCATGCTCTAGCTTCATCAACTATCAAGCTCAAATATGCAGAAAAAGACATAAGCTATGTTCTTATGTAGTTTACTAAACCAAACATATTAATATGCTGGAGTCAAACATCAAGGTAAGAGTCTCGTAGCAAAAAAATGGGAGAGTTGAGCTGGCCGACAGAGGGATATCTCTGAACTAGATAAAACTTCAAAAAAAAAAAGTTAATAAAATAAAGTTTAAAAAATCTGAGTACCTTAAGTTTCTCCGACAAATCTTCTGCATATTGACACCACCTACTTTTCTCCTTCACCTGTCCTTCCACCGCAAAAGCTGAAAAAAAAAACAGCTGTGGTTACTATTATTTCATTTAGAAGGCATATTAGTACAATTTCCATACCTAAGGAGCCAACATGTAGAGATTTCCGCATCAGTTCCATCTGAATTTCCTGTAATGATGCCCAGGCCTCAT